CCTCATTGCTATTTGGTTTCCACATGGACTTACACACATGGAACACCACTTTTTCATCACCAACCCGGAAAGTGAGTTCTCCGTCTTCAACATCACAAAGAGCCTTCCTCGTAGCAAGGAAACATCTTGCAAAAATAATCGGCACCTCATAATCAACTTCACAATCTAGAATGACAAAATCCACCGGAAGAATGAATTTATCAATACGAACCAAGACATATTCAATCACTCCTAAAGGTCTCTTCATAGTACGATCAGCCATTTGCAATCTCATAGAGATGTGTCTTAGTTGCCAAATTCCTAAGGTCTTGAAAACCGAATAGGGCATCAAATTGATATTTGCCCCAAGATCATAAAGAGCTTTAGCAAACTCAGCACTTTCAATTGTACAAGGAATCGTGAAAGTACCGGGATCCTCTAACTTAGGAGCTATTGAATGCACAATTGCACTCACTTGATGAGTGACTTTAATAGTTTCAAAATTCACTGACCGCTTCTTTGTCATGAGGTCCTTCATAAACTTTGCATAACCGGGCATTTGCTCAAGAGATTCAACTAATGGAACATTGATTGAGAGGCTCTTCATCATTTGAATGAACTTCTTGAATTGATTCTCACCATTTTTCTTGGCAAGTCTTTGAGGGTATGGAGGTGGAAGTTTAGGCAATGGTGCCTTAGCCTTTTGCACTACCGGCTCCGGTATGTCAATAATGTGATCCCTAGACTAGTTCACCTCCTCTTGAGTCTCTTCCACACTATCATCAATATTAATACGAACTTCATTAATTGATTACACCACATTGTTTGGGACATCTTCTTCTTGTACCACTTGCTTATCATCCACAAGTTGCTTTTGACTTGAGGTGGGTGCATTCCCACCTCTTCCACTTCTTGTAGTAATGGTAATGGCATGTCCCGTATTATTTCCACCCTTTGGGTTTACTACCGTGTCACTTGGTAGTGCCCCCTTAGGATGAGAATTTAGAGCTTGAGAGATTTTCCCCATTTGAACTTCTAAGTTGCGGATCAATGTGTTGTGTGAGGCAAGTTGGGCATCCGAATCGGCATTCTTTTTCATCATTTGTTTGAACATCTTCTCAATACGCCCCATCTCATTGTTTGAAAAACTTAGACCATAGGAAGGATAAGGAAGCGGGTTACTCAGTTGTTGATACATCGGGGGCCATTGAAAACCCGACCCCCAATTTTCTTGATTATTATTCCATCTGTCTTGATTGTTACCCCTCCCCCCAATTTTCCGATTGTTGCCACTCCAATTTCCTTGGTTGTTAGAATTTCAATTGCCTTGATTATTTTGAGGTCATCATTGTTGTTGGTTTGGGCCTTGGAAGTTGTTTCGCTGCCTTTGAAAGTTGTTCATATATTGCACCTCCTCTTTTTGTTCATTGTAAGAATCATCTTGATCAAAACCACTATCTTCTTGCACATAATTCTACACTCGATGTTGCACTTGCGGACCCTTGGTCCGTCTTTTGTTCACCATCATGTTAACTCCCTCCATGGCATTGACTTGCTTAGGATTTTTGCACTTGTTATAGTTGAGCCTTTGCTAATTGATTCATGGTGGTAGTCAATTTGGCAATGGCTTGCCCATGGTCATGCAGCTCTTTGTGAAGGTGGATCATGTTCGGATCACCCATAGATTCGGGTAATTTAACCAATATTGAGTTAAGAACACTTTCCATGTTGTTTCCCTTGAAAAACTCCCGAAAATTGCCTCTTCCCGAGCTCAACTCCGTCAAAAATTCAGAACTTAAACTCTCTGTCCAGACCTATCTTCTTCACGAACGCGACAGGTTCCTCGCGTTCGTGAAGCACAACTCGACTGCCCACAAATTTAACCCTTCGCGAACGCGACCGTGGCTTCGCGAACGCGAAGCTTTGCAAACCTTACCCTTCGCGAACGCGAAGCTTTACCAGCTCAGACCTTCGCGAACGCGTAGAACAAGGACCCGGGGGTCCCCAATAGCCTCACTCCTCTTCGCGAACGCGACACCTCTCACGTGTTCGCAATGCACACACAGACCATACCTTTGCGTTCGCGTCCTCCCCTTCACGGACGCTAAGAACAAAACCTCACACTCAGAAAATACTCTTCGCGAACACGAGGGCCCACTCGCGAACGCGAAAGAGAAAATCAAAAAAATGATGCAGCAGATATCAGCAATCTCACCAAGGCAAAAAATGATCCGTTAACCATCCAAAACTCACCCGAGCCCCTCGGGACCTCAATCAAATATACCAACAAGTCCTAAACCATCATACGGACTTAGTCGAACCCTCAAATCATCTCAAACAATGCTAAAACCATGAATTACACCCCAATTCAAGCCTAATGAACTTTGAAATTTCTAGTTTCTACAAACGACTCCGGAACCTAACAATTCACGTCCGATTGATCTCAAATTTTGCACACAAGTCATAAATGACATAACGGAGGTATTCAAATTTTTAGAATCGGATTCCAACCCCGATATCAAAAAGTCAACCCCCGGGTCAAACTTCCCAAAAGTTCAACTTTCGGCATTTTAAGCCTAATTCCACTACGGACCTCCAAATAATTTTCCGGACACGCTTCTAAGTCCAAAATTACCATACGGAGCTATTGGAATCATCAGAATTAAATTCCGAGGGCGTTTACATATAAGTCGACATCCGGTCACTATTTTAACTTAGACTTTAAATCTTGAAACTAAGTATTCCAATTCATTCCAAAACCTCACCGGACCCAAACCAATTGCCCCGACAAGTTACACAATAACTGTAAAGCCCAATTTGAGCAGTAAATGAGGAAACAGAGTTGTAATACTCAAAACGACTAGTCGGGTCGTTACAATCCCAACGCAATAGTGGATTCTAAGTGAAAGATTTAGTCTTATATACCGTATCAAAAAATTAGTAAATATCCGATGGGTATAAGTTATTCATCTAATTTCAATACATAAAAATAAATTTTTACATGAAACATGAATAACTATATATTATTCTAGCATATTTTCTAACAAATCTTCCAAGAAGATAGTTACAGAAGAGCATAAATAAATTATCAAAAAAAAAAAAAAAAAACACATATGCATGTAAAATATCCATAGATATCCGTAGAAATATACATATGAAGATTGAAGAATACATGAGTTAGAAGTGAGTTACCAAATTCACAAATGTATCTATGTCATAGATGCGTCCATAATCTATAGGTACATTTATGACATTCATAGACGCATCCTCAATATTCTATAGATGCAAACTATGACAGTCAATAGATGCATCCCCAATCTACATATGCATCTATGACATCCACAGATGCATCGATAGGAAGAAATCATGCCTCTCTCTTCTTATAATAAATAGCAACTAATTTGTAGACAAAGGATATAACCATTAGCAAGACACGAGAATTAGTCTTGGTTCTTTTCTCTTCCTTTTCCCTTTTGTCTTTATAGGATACTATTTTTCTTTTTAGGTTCTTTATATTTTTTTTTATCTTTACTTCTTAATAGACTGATTTCTTTTGTTGGAATAGTTGCTAAATTTGGTATGTTATTAAGATATTTATCTTTAATTTAATTTTTCTTATTTTAAAGATAGCTATCTTATTTCTGTTAGTCCTAGTCATCACAGAAGGATTGACTGAATAAGTTTATTAATCTGTAGGATCTTTATCTTATCTCTATCAGTTCTAACCCTTACAGAGGGATTGACTCAAATAAGTTCATTGATTTAAAAGCTAATCATAAGAGATCCTTACCCTCGTGACATAATTCAGGAAAACAATATTTTCGTTTTAATCGCCACTAATTGTAATTTAATTAATCTATATAACCTCAAGGAGTGTTATTAATCCCTTACTTTCAAGTAAAGAAATATAATTATATTAGCAATAAGCAATTGTCCTTTCGCGAAATATGTTAAGTTAGATTATAATATAATAATATTATTAAGTGAATTTAATGATTCCCAATTTTTTTAACCTTCCTTTTGGTTTATTTAAGTATTTTACAAATTTATGATAGTACTCTCATTTTCATCAATTTGGTTCTCTTGAATAGTAACTAAGACTATACAAATATGTGGCATAGATGGTTTTAATTTTTGTGGGAACAAACTATACTATAATTTGGCAATGCACGAGCAGAAATTTCGATGTATATTGGCCTCGTCAATATATACTCGCATTTCTCATCAAACAAATACAGGAAAAAAATCATATTGGAAACACTTTTAACTCAACCCCTTTCTTTCTTGAGCCCGTGTATTGTAAGTGATCTAAACATGTCCGGAGCTATAGGTTCGCTAATATAAAGCGAGGAGTTGAGCCTGAACTGGCGAACCAAAGTCACTTTCGGAACCATACTTCCTACAATTAACATATGTCTAGTCCAGTGAGAACGCGCAACACAAATGAACCTGAGCTGCTATATCGTATCCCTCGCTGGCCATCAGGGACCGCATGGTAAGGCCATGATCCACAGGGAATAGAACACGCTCTACGCCTTCCTTCGATTGCTTCATTGTCTATAAATATTTGAAAGTAAACTTATTGTATATTAACTTAATATCGATATAAAAACTCATAAATTTTAAAGCTACATTTCCTTTTGTGCCGATTCCCTCCCAAAGATGTTGCCTGCTTCCTTGTTATTAGTATTGCTTATTATACTCCATTTGTAGCTGCATAAATTTTCAATGATAGAGATGAATAAAATGAAAAACAGCAATTAAAGCATACTTAATTACTGACAATAATTTTAAATTTGCTCTAATTGTCTAATCATTATAATTCCTTAAATTAGAACAAATAAATCGTTAAAAATCTTCCGTGACTAACAAAAATCTCGTCAATTATTCCCAAAAGAAAAACAAAGGATATTATCGTCAAAGATTATGAATAGTAAGTATTTCTACATTTTCAATTAGAAGTATAAAAAGAGAAAAAGAAAAAGAGAAAAAGGAATATTAACCAAAATAAAACAGAATATTTTAGTTCTGGCCTTCCGGTTTTACACCTTTTCCGAATCTCGAAAGTTGCGTTAAACCCAGTTCCTAAATCCCCAGAACCTCTCGTACAGAGAAAAGCAAGTTTGATCTGATACTGTTCGATAAATATGCAGAAGAAGAGCTTCACTCTTCTACAGACAATTGCAATTTCAGGTGTATTCTCTGCCGTTTCTGGCTGGTAATTACCTTTCTATGTATCTCTCTTTCTCCCATACACACATGTATGCAAAAATAAGGCTCTTTTATGCTCTTTTTTTCAGTTAGATACGGGGTTTAATTTCATTAATAGAAAATCTGATAAGTGAATTTTGTTTGAATTTATAAATTTATTATTATTGTTATTAATTAGGTATGGGTTCATGTTCGGGAGAGAGTCAGCTCGGAAGGAGCTAGGAGGTTTGATTGAAAGTCTCCGCAATCCCAATTCTGACTCCGTCTCACCTCCCTCCTCTCACTCCTAATTCTAGCAGGTATTCTACACTTTTCTTCTCTATAACCCTTGATATGTGGTATTATTTGACTGCACAATGAGTTTAAGAAAAAATACTTTAGAAACTTGTGGCCTAATGCAAGCCATAAACATTTGTATAGCTATAAATCATCCTATTAAAGGGTAAAATGAGAATTTTTAAGTTAAATTGTTTCTAAATATAGAAATATGTCACTCTTTTTGTGATAGAGTAAAAACAAGTGTGCCACAATATTGGGACGGATGGAGTAATATTTAAGAAGTATTTGGATAAGTTGTTATAAGAAAAGAATGTTTACTCCGGAATAGTAATAGTGCCTAACTGATTGGTATGGATGTAATATAACTTTAGGCTACTTAGATGTATCTTTTTCTTTTTTAATAACCGAGAAATCCCTAAGGCCGGTGGCACACGGTTCGAAACTCGGTGTATAATGGGCTCAGGGGCGGCCTCACCCTAAAGCAAGTGTGAACTTGCTTTAGGTCCCAGAAATTTAAGGGCCCCAAAATTACTATTTCTCTATCTATAGTAGTATATTATTTATATAAATATCTCTTATTATTGATAAATTTATTTCTTTATTGTCATATTAATTTTTAATAACTCGCTTTCTTCCTCTAATTAATATAACTAAAATAGTTTTCTGTCAATCTTATTTTACTTTTTTACTTAATTATATTTCTCTATTAATTAGTTGGTCACGTAACTGTATCTAATAATCTAACTTATTATTTATTTTCCTTACATAAATTATACTCTCTCCGTCCCAATTTAAATGAAAGTGTTTGACTGGACATGGAGTTTATGAAATAAAGGAAGGTTTTTGAAACTTGTAATCTTAAATAAATCATAGCAATTTGTGAGCTAGAAATCATATCATTAATGGTAAAAAGAAAAATCTAAAGTTGAATTGTTACCAAATATAGAAAGGGACTTACTAAAAAAAAGGAGTCACTTAAGTTGGGACGGAGGAAGTATGTTTTCTGGGTTCTCCTATTTCAGTTGTGATGCAATCAACGTTAAATTTATTTAATTTTCTGTACTTTATAAAACTAAGTTCTCATTTTTTTTAATTACACATCCTCACTTGTCTAATTTTTTTAAAAACGATGTTCATTATATATATATATATATTAAGACCTCTTATTAAGGCTTTGCTTTAGGCCTCGGATGATGTTGGGCCGCCCCTGAATGGGCTCACCCCTCTACTCTTCTCCACTCTAGCTTAGATGTATTAAGTTAATTGGATTTGACTGTAATGTGCTCAATTATGAATCTTGGAAAAAGGTTACAATATGAACGCTATCATTTCATTTACCATCAGTAGTAGTATGTTGACTTGCGATGAATAGACATGATTCTACTTTGATGTGTGATGTGATGTGCTTCTGGTCACAACTAGTGTTTTAAAAGGCATTTTCTGGGCGAGGCGTACCAAAAAACGCATTGAGGCGTACTGGCGGGGGCGTAAGTACCATGAGGCGTGAGCCCCAACATTCCGAGCGTTCGCCTAGGCGTAAGTCCCAATGTTCTGAGCGTTCATTTGGGGCGTAATAGATCTTTTTTTCTTAACTTAAATATCCAAAAGTTAACTCTAGTAAATTTTCAAACTAAAAATGTCAAAAAAGTTTTTTCTAATTGTTTATCCTAATTTCATAATTTACTAGTACTAAGTAACAAATACACTTAGGACATTTTTTTGGCAAAAGTGCAAACTACAAAGAAAAGAGTTTTGTCCTCCAATTCTTACTCTGCTTTTGCACTTGCATTTTCCTTCTTTATGCTTCATTTTCTTCAAGTTTTTTTATTCTTTTTTTATTCTTTTCAAGTTAGTTTTTGATTTCAAAATTTCTTTTGGTATCGCTCTACGTTAGATATTATTTTGATGATTCTATTTTGGCTATTTGTATTATACAATGAGTATTTGTGATTTATTATCTAGTTTTAGGTTTTTAAATAATAAAGGGCAGCCCAGTGCTTTAAGTTCCCGCTATGCGCGGGGTCCGGAGAAGGGCCGAACCACAAGGGTCTATTGTACACAACCTTACCCCGCATTTTTGCAAGAGGCTGTTTCCACGGTTTGAACCCGTGACCTCCAGGTCACATGGCATCAACTTTACCAGTTACGACAAGGCTCCCCAATAATAGTAACTTTATATCATTATTATTTTTATTATTTGAAAAATTAGGAACTAGAATATCATTTTACAACTCTAAGTATATTCTATCATGGTCATTTTATAGGTATGATGCATCATTACGTCTTTCACTTTTTTCTGATTTTTTTTTTGGTATGTTTCATGCACATGTTAGCATGTTTAGAGATATATCCTTTTTTCTATTAATTTTATAATCTTATTGATATTTTTACAATTTAATATATTTTTTATTTGTATAATTATTTTATTAATTTATAAATATTAAAAATTAAATACTCATGGGGCTTACATCCCGTGCCTCAGGGCTTTCGCCTCGCCCCGTGATAGATAAAACACCTCGCCTCTTGTCCACGCCTTTTAAAACACTGGACTCACAACATGGTCACTACTAGTTTACGATGCTTGTATGTGCTACGGAAAAACTGTAATTACAATTTGCTAAATTGAAGATGACATTTTGCTTTAGGGATGTTGTTTATGATGGAAATGCTACATTGCCCATTTTGGTCGTTTAAGCTTCTGAACTTTTACAGTTTAAGCAAGAGACTTTATAACTTTAGGAAGGTAGATAAATTTTGAAACAGCTACAAGTAAGATTTTGGTGAAAGTTAGTGAAATTACTCTTTTTCTTATTAAAATTTAGAGAAAGTTAGTTTATACAAATTCTTCAAGGATTTGTGAGATGGCCAATCTTTTTGCTATTTCTATTTTCTTGTCTTAGGTTTATTAGCTCTATTTATGAGCAGGTCTATGACATAGGTCATGGTTTTACTTCCACAAAAGTTTACTTAACAGGTATTATTTTCATTTTTAGCATGGGATAGCTAAGACATTCATTTAAGAAAAATGAAAGATATTGATTGTGATATCTTTGGATTCTGAAGTGAAAAAATTCCTTGTTAGTTATCAGTTATCACCCGGACAAGTTAGAAAAAGTATTGTTTTCTAGAAATTTTGGTGGAAGTGGCTGAGGAAACGCTAAAATAGAGCTGGAAAGTTAGTTCTGTATATTCACATTAGGTAAATTAGCAAATTTTAGGTCTCACAGCAAGGCTTTCTTGCCTGAAGCTGTTGTCATTGACCTTCATGTAATACTTATTCAACTAGGCTTAAAGTTTAGTTCCGTTTAGATCACGTTGCTTAATACCACCTGTAGACATGAAAAATTTTAATAGGAAAAATGATATGCAGGTTGTCTATTGCCACACATTTTGTGAAGGGTTCAACTGATTAAAAAAATTCACATTTCATCACCGGAACTAATCTTGCTATCTTCATAAAAGCAATCCCTTTCTAATCTTAGTCTTCAATTTGCAGGTGCTAAAGAAAGGTAAGATAACACAAGTTTGGATGATGGAAGAAAATGAGTGCCTCATCTCTTCTTGAAGCTGAGACAAGTGAAGGTACCTGGACCTTGGTAGAAAGCTCTTTGAGATCGTGACAACAACTTAGATTTAAATGTTTTTCTCGTTCTTCTGCTGGAAAATTTACTTCCTTGTTCATGATAACTAAATTGCCTGTACTATCGAGATAGAAGTCTGTATAATGATGTTCTTCATTGAGAAGGAAGTAGTGAAATTGTGCTGGATATCAGATATCAATTGTTGACTACTGGTTTATTTTTCCCACTCCATGCAACTATGGAAAATTCTGCATTAGCAGCTCTTTATCTGGAAAGTTCCATGTTAAAAGTAGTACTAAGTCACATTCTAGTTCTGTAAATTTTGGGGAAGGTAATGGTGTTTTTATGGTTCTGAGGGTTTGAGGGGGGCTAGGGGCTGGGCTTTTAAATCTAGCTTCAGTTAAGAAGTTTGGCGAATGGAAGTACGCAGTCCATAAATTTCCTCCGTGGGAGGAAAAGTCATGATAGGCTGTATTATTATTCTACTTTAAGTTAATTTCTTGGTAATTTCCTTAGAAACCATGGAATATATCTTTGAAGTACATAGGCTGCAGACCATGTATAAAGCAAGTTGATATTGTTGTCACTTATGATTTTTTTCCCACAGTACCTGTCTGTTTCTTTTCATTTTCCTTTGTTAAAAAAACACTCAAGATCTTTACATTTTTATTATAGCTGAGAAGATAACATATGTGTGAGTGTGACAAATATCTTTAATGGGTGAACTTTGTTCACTAATCTTGTCAAATATTCTTAAACATTGCTAAACAGATATTGCTAAAAGGTCAAAAGTAATTCTGCGGAGGCTCTAAAGCCTGACTTATCACCATGTTGCTGATATGCTTGTAATCTTTCAGCATGGGATGTTGCATTAAATGGTTATCTACAAAGGATTGGGGGTAGTGGTGATCTTCTCTACTTGAAATGTTCTTTGGACTAGCGATATGTTTATCAGACACTCAAGTAAGTTGCTCATTGATAATTAATACCTCGAAGGAAGACAGCAGAAATAATAACGGGATATAAGTCTGTAAGAAGCAATTGTATGAGGTGCTTTATTTCAATAATAATAAACGTGGAAGGCAGAAAAAAAGAAGTTGTTTTAGTACAAAGAAAAGAACATGCTCATTCAAATCCTCGTATGATACTGTCTCATCATCCCAATGACCCGGAGCTTTGCAATCTCTGGACCAAAATAGGAAAGACTGACACACAGCTTCTTTTTCTTGTCGTCTATAGTTTAGTTTCAGACACAGGCTCAAATTCTTGTGGACTCTTTTAGGTGCTATGAGTAATGGAAATTTAATACTTTTTGCCACTGTTCTCTGCTATTCTACAATGGGATGACCATATTACCTCTATACATATGCATATCTTTACACTAGTGCTATCTCTTTAACTTTCATAGAATGAGTCTTTTTGATAAATCCTACATAGAGGTCTGTCCTGCTTGAGTCACACTCTGGACGTCTAGCATTTCGGCCTCCTCCTGACATGCTTTTCACGAATTGCCCTAAATTCTGCCAATTTTCTGGCTCAAACAACCGTTTGTTCATTCTCAGGAATGTAAATGCGCTCAATGCATTTCCAGAATCTGACCTGCTTGTTGCCAAAACCTGAGAATATGCTCCTTCATCGTACCTCTCTAGAGCATTCTCTCCAGCAAGTTCTACTTCAGAAGTTCTAGTTGCTTTTTTTACTTGTCGAACTAAGCCTTCTGGTGAGCAATTTGCACTCTGGGGCTGTTCACCATCCCTCATTTCCATACATGTAAAGTTAAATACAACATGATGTTTCCCGAACATACGTGATATAGGTAGATAGCCATTTGTGTCTCTCGTATTGTAGTATCCTGCTGTTAACTCTGCTGCAGCATGTGATCTGGTATTGTAATGCCAATGAATTCCAGCTACCTTTCCAGATAGTTTAGCCCCAGTTCCTTGGTATATACTTTCTGCTGCTCCTAGGATCCTGTCGCCATGCTCCAGTAGCTTTCCTGAATACCACTCTAGGAAGAACTTTCCATATTCACTATTCCATGTTCCATCTCTTTGGAAAAATCCAGTATCTTCAGGAAATTGGTTGTACTGTCCTGAGTCATGAGGCCCTCCCTGGCCCCAGTCATCCTTTCCCGCCGCATTGGCAGATGCTGCCAATGAAGCTCTCATGTACTGTACGTGTTTACAAAAAAAAAGTTAGTTTATTTTTTCCAGCTTCTGAAGGTCTTTCTATTTTTTTCTGAGATTTACTTATGTAAGGAAAAACAATTTTATTAATATCTCTGACATTAGATGCAAAACATTACCTTGTCATAGTTCTGGAATTCTCCAATTCCAGGAAATCTCCAAGTACCATTGCTTTCTGGGTAGGATGGATATCTTAGCTCCCCACACGGACCCAATCCCACTTGAATCTCCTGTAGAAGAAAATAGAATGTCAATTTGAAATTTTCCTACCATTTTAGCTTGGAAAATACAATAGGAGTATAGCACCCAAGGGTGTGGCCTAGTTGTCAATGAAGTCGGTTGAGAACCATGAAGTCTCAAGTTCAAATCCCAGCGGAGATAAAAATACTACAGTAGGTGATTTATTTCCATCTGTCCAAGCCTTGCTGGTGGAAGTAGTAGGTATTTCGTGGAATTAGTTGAGGTGCGTGTAAGCTGGTCCCGACACCACAGTTATCAAAACATATATATATATATATATAATATGGTATATTAAGAGGTACTCTGTATCATTTGGATGATTCTATATACTTTACTGGTCCACCTTTTAGATGGCTAACCAACAAATTAGTCGACCACATGAGATTACATAGAGTAACTTATTCGATTTTGCTTATTCACTTATTTTCTTAGCCGCCGTTCTCTCTTTTGGATAAATAGCCTGATTTGTTTTTGCTTAGGTTACTTCAAATTAGCCTTCAACGTATATTTCTCCCGGATTAGGATAAATTATTTAATCCTATCCTAATGAAGACCTGCAGTGGTTTAATGTTTAAAACATTTTTTTTAACAATTAGCAGCTTCACTTTTCAACTTAGCTCCTATTCCTCCCTTAAAGAACGAAAGAGTTTTTTGTGGATGCTGTGTGTGTTTATTTTGCTAAAGCTTGTGCTTGTTGTTTTCAGTTACTGTTGCCCTAGAGTTTTAATAGACTAATAGGAAGTTATTGAAGTGATAATATTGGTTATGTGATTGTATAACAGAAGTCTTACCACTATGACATCTCCCAAGTAATGGCTGAATCTTTCTCTGAAGCTCCTCATATAGTCAGTGTATACCTGAATGGGTGTTCTTCCTTTGAGTACTGGTAACATATCACAACCTAAGGAAATATACTCGGGATTTCTCCTTCCTGATCTATCTGTGTAGACAAGATCTGGATTCTTCCCGATATCTTCAAGTACCCATGGAGGTAGAGGAATACTGCAAAATCCGTTACAATTTTTAGTGACAGTTTGATTTCTTCCAGAACTGCGATTCTGAATAATTCCAGTTTCACTTGAAATATTCCCTTGTAAGCTATGAAGTATTACTTTGGATTGCATGCAGTAGAATGTCTTTTGTCAAAGATTATAATTTTGTTAACCATTTCATGCAAGGACTGAGAACTTTAAGAAAGCTGGGATTCTATAGGAGTATTGGATATTTTGAGAAAAATAATAATTGTCTCTTTCCTTTAAAAGCTTTGGGAAACATTACTGATTAAGATGATAGGAATTGCCTTATTGGTGTTGTGATTTGTGAATATGAGAACAGAAAAGGTAAACTTCCTAGTTCATTCAGAACCTAATTATAAGTTTCCTGAATCTGTGCAATAATGGTGTATTGGTACAGATTGCTAGATTATTGAGGTTTAAGATTTACTATCTCTATAATACTAGTAGCTTATTAGAGCCTAATGGAAATAAAGCAGAATATAGATTGTGATAAAGCCTAATGGAAACATAAACTGCATTTTAACAGTACCTGCAAGAGTCTCCAACATTTCCACCGCACTGATGAAAAGACATGACAACTTGAAGTTTCAAGCCATGTTCTTTGCACATCTTAACAAGTTCAGCATAACCTTCCCAGTTATATTTCAAAGGTCCATCTTTTTCAACCAAACCCCACCAAGCATCTACCATTACTCCTTCAACTCCAGCACTTTTCAACGCCATTAAACTCACGTGCATCGCTCGTGGTTTGTTCAAGTTCCCTCCCATGGTTATGGTGTCAAGTGGCAACATCACAAAAACAGGTACCTTTGTACTACTATTAATATTACTGTGAGTAGTTGTTAGGACATGAAGTTTTTCCCTTTCCTCATTACCGATAACTCTCTCATGAGAGAGTTGAGCTTCTTGCATGGAACTCTTTGTTATCATGAGACGACAAGATGGCTTCGTTAGTGCAAACGAAACCATGCCTAAGAAATCATCAGGTGTTTTAATACCTTTGGTTTCTGTTATATTGATAAAAGAAGTTGAAGAATGAGGTGTTAAAGCCATTTATTGTGTTTTTTTTTTATTTTACAATAGAAGATGTTGGAATTGCTGTTTTTGATAATAGAAGATGTAGGAATTGATGAAGTTGTCGTTGTGTATTTATAAAGCAAGATCCTGAGGTTTCAGGTGCATGATTCATGAAGGAGACAAATTTGGTGGGCTCTATTTAGATATTCAGAAAAAGGTGCAAAAGGTTTAAAACGAGTCGGCAAACTTTTTCAAGGTCTGTATTCTACTTAACGTGGCGACACATACATGATATAACTCTATTTTATAAACCTTTATGTCCTCGGTAATATAACATATAACGTTGCCGACCTCAATTAGGAATGATTCAAAAAAGTAAGAAAAAAACGAAATTCATTTAAACGTGAAATAAATTATATACGGTCGAAATAGATTTCGGTCTTCCTACGTCGATCGAGTTCGAATTGTAAGCGACCGGAGTGGAATTTTGGGATGAGTTCCGAAGACAGTACAAACGAGCCTCGAGTTCCAAAGACTGATCGAGGAGTCGGCTCGATACTATTATCGAGCCCATGACCAAATCGACCCGCAAGGCAACGTGAGGGTGGTCGGAAACGCGCTACACCCACCCCAAAGGTCGAACTCATGCCAAAGCCGAGGGCTCGACCCAATAACGAGTTCGAGCCAGTATCGAGCTCGCAAACAAGAGCCGTTACAATCGCACTAAGAGAGAGAATCTTGGCGGGAATCAAGGAAGAGACAATTTATCATGGTTTCTCCACTATATGTTTTCCTTTTGATAAATAAAGTAAGATCCCTCTACAATAAGAGGGGGAATCCTTGTAAGCATAAGACACTCTCACACACTGTAACAAAAGATCACTTCTCATATTGAAAGGTATCCTCTTGTGCTCGTTTTACTTTATCTTATTCGCTCTTCTTGCTCACTATTCTCATTCTCATAGTCAAGAACATAGATATTACTATATCTCTATACGGTTTTGAATCAAATTATATCACATATCTTTAGAACCATACTCAAATTTAACTTTATCCGATTTTTCGGGTAAATAGTTTGGCGTCCACCATAGGGCTAAGGATAACAGTGATTGTTTGATATAAATCTGCAATACACACTAATTTACAACTTCGAATCAACAATGGCTTTACCTATCGACCACGAAGCCGACCTTCAAGATGAAACCAACAACATGGTACCCGGGGCCGGAAGGCCATTTAACAATAGCACTGAAGCTCGAATCGAAGTACCTAGAATTCGAGCCGAAGTACCGCTAGATGTCAATTCGCAAGTGTCTCTTGAGGCGAACTAACGTTCTGAACCGGAAAAAAGCATTCAAGGCGGTACCCGATCCATAGCTCGAGACGCCCATAACGTGGAGGAAGTCGGAATCAGCTTACGTATGATCTTCGAGATATTACAAGCCTAACAAGTAGCGATAGCTCAGTTGCAGAGCCAAACTCAGATACAAAGCAGACCAGAGCCCAATCCGCTTCGAGAAATCACCCCTAGAACGGAGCCCGCCATAGTAAAGTCAAACGAGCAAGAATCGGGGACCACTCCCGAAATTACTATACTAATCGAGGAGCTCACAAAACGAGTCGAAGCCAACGACAAGAGAGTGGAAACATATAATTCCAGGGTCGATCAGATCCCTGGAGCTCCACCAATGATAAAAGGGCTGGATTCGAAAAAATTCATACAAAAGCCTTTTCCCTCGAGTGCGGCTCCAAAACCAATCCCCAAACAATTCTGTATGCTCGAAATTCCCAAATATAACGGTACAATCGATCCCATCGAACACGTCACCTCTTACACATGTGCCATCAAGGGTAACAATTTGGAGGATGATGAGATCGAATCCGTGTTGTTGATAAAGTTCGGGGAAACCCTCTCGAAGGGAGCGATGATTTGGTATCACAATCTGCCGCCAAATTCCATCGATTCTTTTGCCATGTTAGCAAATTCGTTCATAAAGGCGCATGCTGGTGCCATAAAGGTTGCAACAAGGAAATCAGACCTCTTCAAAGTAAAGCAAAGGGGTAATGAAATGCTGAGGGAATTCGTATCCCGATTTCAAATGGAACGCATGGAATTGCCACCGATCACAGACGATTGGGCCGTCTAAGCTTTCACCCAAGGGTTGAATGAGAAAAGTTCGATAGCACGTCGGCTGAAGCAAAATTTGATCGAGTATCCAGCAATAACTTGGGCGGATATACACAACCGATATCAGTCAAAAATTAGGGTCGAAGATGACTAGTTGGGAGCTCCGTCTGGATCCATGCATCAGAACAGGACATCTATTAAAAACCAAAGGGAGATCGACAGGGAACAAAGGTCGAATAGAGACCGATATCAACCGTACATCGCAGATCGGATGAGCAATGGTTCAACACACAATACCGCTCGGAACAATCGAAGGAGTGAACGAGGGTAAAATTCTCGGGGACTTATGAGAAAGAGGGGCTTTGATAAATATGCCGATCCTATAGAAGCACCTCGGTTATCGGAATATAACTTCAGCGTTGATGCATCCGTCATTGTATCGGCTATCAGACGCATTAAAGACACTAAATGGCCTCGACCCATGCAGACCGATCCTTTCCCAAAGGAATCCCAATCAAATGTGTGAATATCATGGCACCCATGGCCACAGAACGGAGGATTGCATGCAACTAAGAGAGGAAGTAGCCCGGTTATTTAACAAAGGCCACCTTCAAGAATTTTTGAGCGATAGAGCGAGGAACCATTTTAAAAACAGGGATTTTGGCAAGCAAAACGAGCAAGAAGTACTACAGCACGTCATCCACATGATCATCGGCGGCCCCGATACCCCTCAGGGGCCAGTGCTTAAACGCACTAAAATATCGATTGTGAGAGAAAAGCGATCTCGAACTCAAAATTACACACCCATAGGAACATTGTCCTTCAATGATGAAGATGCAGAAGGGGTCGTACAACCTTATAACGATGCATTGGTAATATTCGTACTCATGAATAAAACTAAAGTTAAGCGTGTGTTAATTGATCCAGGTAGCTCGGCCAACATCATCAGATCAAAGGTCGTAGAACAGCTCAGCCTGCAGGACCAGATCGTACCCGCAACCCTGGTTCTAAAAGGATTCAATATGGCAAGTGAAAACACCAAGGACGAGATAATTCTACCAATAAATGTGGCAGGAACCATTAAGGAAACAAAGTTTCACGTGATCAAAGGCGATATGAGATACAACACCCTTTTCGGAAGGTCATGGATCCACAACATGAGAGTTGTACCTTCGATCCTGCACCAGGTCCTCAAATTCCCAACATCAAGAGGAGTCAAAGCAGTGTACGAAGAGCAACTAGCCGCGAAAGAAATGTTCACCATCGAGGAAGTGAAACCAATATCCTCGCCTTTGCCAATAAAGGGATTAGGCTCTAAAGGAGAACGGGGTACCAAATAGCAATCACAGACATCGGCTTCGACCCAACCAGATAACCAGAATATCGAAAAAGATGATGATCATAGGATCCCTCGATCCTTCGTGATTCCCGATGACTCCGACGCCACCAAATCAACAATTGAGGAACTAGAGCAAGTCACACTAATCGAGCACTGGCCCGAACGGAAGGTATACCTGGGAACGGGGTTTAGCCCCGAACTCAGGAAGAAACTCATCCAATTTCTTATCGATAACATTGATTGTTTTGCCTGGTCCCATTTAGATATAACAGGGATCCCACCGGACATAACGACGCATCGGCTAAGCTTGGACCCTAAGTTTAGACTGGTGAAACAAAAAAGAAGACCCCAGTCCGAGGTAAAACACGCATTCATAAAAGATGAGGTAACCAAACTTCTCAAGATAGGGTCCATTCGGGAGGTAAAATATTCCGAATGGTTAGCCAATATAGTTATAGTGCCTATAAAAGGGAACAAACTCAGAATGTGTGTGGACTATAAGGATTTGAACAAAGCGTGCCCTAAAGATTCTTTTCCACTGCCTAACATCGATCGCATGATTGATGCCATGACCGGTCATGAGATCCTCATTTTTCTCGATGCCTATTCCGGGTATAATCAAATCTAGATGAACCCGAAGGACCAGGAAAAGACTTCATTTGTCACCAAATATGAAACATATTGTTATAATGTGATGCCCTTCGGTCTAAAGAACGCAGGGGCTACGTAACGACGCCTAGTGAATAAAATGTTCGAAGAACAAATAGGTAAATCAATGGAAGTTTACATCGATGACATTCTTGTTAAGTCCCTGCGTGCAGAGGACCATTTGGCTCATTTTCAGGAAAAGTTCAAAATTCTAAGGAAATACAACATGAAGTTCAACCCCGAAAAATGTGCTTTCGGGGTCGGATCGGGCAAGTTCCTCGACTTCGTGGTGTCGGATAGGGGGATCGAGATCAACCCCAATAAAATCAAAGCCATCGAAGACATCACCATCATGGATAGTGTGAAAGCAGTGCAAAGGCTAACTGGACGGATAGCTGCCTTAGGCCGATTCATTTCAAGGTCGTCAGATCGAAGCTACAGATTCTTCTCTCTACTCAGAAAGAAGAACGATTTCGCCTGGACCCCGGAATTCCAACATGCACTGAAACAACTGAAGCGGTACCTATCGAGCCCACCATTACTTCACACTCCGAAGGCAGATGAGAAGCTCTACCTATACTTGGCAGTATCGGAAATCGCTGTGAGTGGTGTCCTTGTTCGAGAAGAGCAAGGTACGCAGTTTCCTGTTTATTATGTAAGTCGGACCTTAGGAGAGGCAGAGATTAGATACCCACACTTAGAGAAACTGGCGCTTGCATTGATAAGTGCGTCTAGAAAGTTAAGACCATACTTTCAATGTCACCCCATATGCGTTTTAACCACTTACCCACTTTGAAACATTTTTCACAAGCCCGAGCTATCGGGCCGACTGCCCAAATGGGCCGTCGACCTCGGTGGGTACGATATTGAATATCAGCCTCGGACGGCCATCAAGTCCCAAATTCTAGCCGACTTCGTGGCCGACTTCACACCAAACCTTGTACCCGAAGTTGAAAAG